GGAGTTTCACTTCAGGGGCAGTTTAGGAGGATGTAGAATTGTGTCACTTCTTCCTGTAGGACAAAAACTGTTCCTAATCTGTTTTCTTTGTCTCCCAGCAAAAAAAAAAAAAAAAAAAAAAACTTCGACTCCCAAAAAATCTTCACATAATAAGAATTATCTTTGTCCTTGTTTTTTAGTTCTGCTTGGATTTGTGTAATATTTTTGGTATGTGGCTTTTTATTCAGAGGAACAACGCTTCCTTAAGAAGGGGGGGGCTCAGTTCCAGCTTTGGATTTACCAATGGGACTATGGGGCTGTGTGCTCATCTCAACACCATGCCTCAGAAAATTACGTTACCATTCTGGAGTATAAAGTTAAGATGGAATTAAGGGCTCTTCCATCTGGCAGAAAGATTTTTTTTTTCCATCAATGAAAGATGACTCTCTGTGTCAACAGCGAATAGATTTATATTGCATATATTGCTTTTTCTGTTTGAATAGGTTATACTGTATGGTCATATTTCTTTGTGTGGCTGTTCTTCATATTCCATTTCAATATGAGAATAATAAACCTGATTAAAACCCTCAATGGCAGTGGTATATGGAGGAGGGTAATTTTCTAAAAACTTGATGATGTTGACACAGTCTAGAGGCATTGTGAAACAGGAAATGTGTGTACACAGACAATCTGAAAGCTTCTGTACTTTCCAAAACGGCAGATTAAAGGCTGTTGAAGCATGTATGAGCAAGAAGGCTCACAATGGTGGGTAAAGCTGCTGATGAGTTCATGTCTTTTGTTGTCCACATAGTGGTGAATATGTCCTAATCTTTCCATAAGCTGATTTGTTTTGTTCTGCTTTTATAACTTATCCCACTTGTGCATCCAACATTTATGAAGAAATAGTTTGAGACGCGCATTTTCTTTTTCACCAGATTGAGAACAGTTATTTCTGTGCTGTTTTCATCTGTTCTTTTTACTGGTTTGTAGGTGGGCGGGGGTCAGTCAAAAAAAATTATGTCATATACCTCTGGGCACTAATCAGCTCTTAACAATATCTTAATTAAAATCAGAGGACAGTTGTGGGGTTACATGCTTTGTTTCCACTGTCAAACCAGTCCGAACCACACCCAAACCAGTCCTGATGAAGCAGATTAGCTCAGATTTAAAGCATTAAACCCTCAGTAAATAAATAAAGAAACACATGGAACCTCATTAATAAATTGTTGAATACGAAAAAAGGCCTCCTCACTTATTCCATCTCAGTAATCCGATGGTAAATTTCACTAATCTTTCTGATATAACAAATGGGTTCAATGGTTTTTTTTCATAAATGTTGGTCCTGCTGTGGCTAATAATATGAAATACACAGATGAATCCCGCCTTGTAAATATCAAGAAGCAGTATCCTTGTATGAGTATGTTTGACCTCTACATCGAAAGAAGTGCTCGATGCTATTCTGGTGATGAAAGAATCCGCTGCAGGGCATGATGAAATAAGGTCTAGTCTAATAAAGGTAGGTATTTTTCTGTGTTGTTGAGCTCCTCACCCATGTTATAACTTTATTCTTCAAAACAGGTGTTCTCAAACAGTGCTCTTAAAGTAGCTAAAGTTGTACCACTGTTCAAATCAGGTGTTTCCAGCATGTTTACTAATTATGATCAAGGAATAATGTATGACAAAATGTCAAAACCTGGCGCCTTCATTGCTTACAACTTAACTCAACCTCCGACAGTTCAGTTAGAGATTCTGTTATGTTACGGTAGTAGCAGCTTTGAACCTATGAATGTATTAAGAGAGCTTTGTTTCAGTTGCCACATGCTACAATGAAAAAGGCTGTAGAAGGGACAACTCCAACTTCATCGACATCAATTATTACTCTTTGTATTATGGATTTTTAATCCATGGAGATTTTATATTTGTAAATTTTTCCCAGAGCTTGAAAAAAGCTATTTTTATTTGCATGACATCATCCCAATGTAAAGTCTATGAGCCAATGTAAAGTCTAGCAACATCACTTGAGCCAGTGAATCAGACTTCACGCAGCTCCCTCTGGAGCCACAAAATACTTTTTACAGCCTTTTTTTTTTACGTATGCATTCAGACCTGCAAACAGATTTAGATTTAGTAAAATTGGTGACATTCCCCTTTAAGGACCCTTTTACGCTGTGTGATTTTGGACTCACAGGCGAAAAGTTGACAATCATGAGAGAAGCGTGGTGAAATGTGGTGTTGCCAATCAAAAGCGGTGGTCTTAGATCATACTGTCAGACACTGAATGCTGATCTAGACACAGTGTAGCCATGACGCTCATTTACAAATCAACCAATGGGAATAAAACATGAAATTATGCAAAATACATGGCGAGATGACATAATGCTAATACTACTGATGATTGTATGAATGATGATGTTTTGTTTACTACTGGAGAGCAGTTTGTAGACACACACACAGAGTGGCTACACACTCTAAGAGAGCCTGTTGTTGTCGACGGAGGGAGTGGAAACACAAGAGCCCTAAAGTTTGTGTGTGTGTGTCTGTTTGTGTACTTGTGTGTATGCATGTATGTATGTGTCTGTGTTTTTTTAGTGAGAGTGTGTGTTTGTGTGTAAGTCACTTGCGGGGATAAAGAGCCATTGTCTGCAGCTGGTGCATCCCCCACTCCTCCTCTCTGCAGCTGTGAGGAAATCAAACGCTCCTCTTTTCCCCTTCTCTGCCTCTGTCACAACCTGCTGATGCCTTATTAGGTCATTCATGGTGAAACGTAGTGATGACCCAGTGATGGTTTGTGTAGTGAAGCAGGTACACCAGCTCCATTGAGTTGTTACAAATAGGGAAAAAAAGAGAAAAAAGGTGGACGAGGAAGAATAAAACTAACTTTAATAATACAACAACTTTCAAAATAGAGTTACAAAGTGCTGAATGCTGCCTGAGAAAGAAACACCTTTTCTATTTGAATGTTACATTGAATATACATGGAAGTAAAAAGTCTTTGGAGCTTGGATCAACATAAATCATCAGTACAAAAGATAAAGAACTGCTTTCGAAAGTATATCATTCTTTGATAAAAAGTTAAAGGTACAAGTCTGTGTGTTGACGTTAACTGCAACTCCCAAGGTGCATTTAGGCAAGAAACATCCAATCACCAAGCTTATGGGGCGTTCTTTTTGTCCACTGAACTCGACCTGCAAGTCGGTTTCCTGAGTTACGAACCGGAAGTTGCAAACAGAACGCCCCCAAGGTCGTATATGCGACTCGTCAAGTCATCTGAACTCAGAGAACCCCGAGTTCAGTTACCAAGATGGCTACTCTGAGCATCACACATAGTAAACATTGTGGTTTTCTATTATTTTAAGCACTTTTGTCTTTGTTGTAACCAAATGAAGAAGTCGTACACATAGCACTGTATACTGTTACCTATAGGCATGTCGCTACAGTCTTATTATGTGTTAAATACCGCCTAATTATTATATTATTTTGTAGCTTGTGCAGCTGAAATTGGCTAGAGACGCTCCATGTTGCTATGACAACAGTGCCGAGTCTTGAGCAGAAAACAGAGCAGTAGCCTAACGTTAACGTTAACGTTATTTGTTTTCCAACACGGATGTGACGTCACTCTCGAGCTGCAAGTCGCGATTAGAGTTCTCAACTACAGCGCCGAACCATTTTGAACTAGCAACGGCTCTGGTTTGCGCCTCGGCCTGGCTTCTTCTCCATGGCAACGGCAACCAAGATTAATGGGTATTGTAGTATTTGGAGCTGTCCACCGTGACAAAATGAAAGTCCAAACATAATTTCTCAGAGACAAACTCAGAGTCTGTATATATAAATGGCTCATTCTACAGCCTATATTCAGGTTATTATACTCCAATGAAAACAATGAACATTATATTCTATTTTTGCCATTTGATCCTCCTAAATTTTACACATTGGACATTTAAAGCTAATTTAATTTACATAAACCAATTAACCAACCGTCCAATAAAGTCCTGTGTAACACTAAGGATATTGTAGTCTTACCACATGGGCCATTTAGTAGCTTCTTGAGCTTTATGCATACACATGATTTTCATCAGCAGATGGTATTTGCCCCGCTGTCATGGAAATGGAAAATGGACAATGTTGATATTTTCGAGAGTTTAATTACATGTTGGCTCAATCATTGAGATTGAAAGTTAATTATTGACTCTTGAAACTTTCATTTTTTAAATAATTTCACCACAAGATCAATTTAGTATAATAATATGTCACTCAAACTGTCTGTCCAGAGGCCATTTCTGGCCCTCTATCTCCCCCCTTTCTCCGGCCTGTGACATAATACCAAAAATATAATATAATTGGTTCACAAGATGATTAATAAACTAATAATAAACCACTTCTTCATATACAGTTAAAATAAAAACACATTCTGTTTTAAAATATCTATTTAGTTTGGTGGAAAATAATGGTAGAGGTTAAAGGTGCCCGCAAATGTATTCATAGGGTTGATAAAAATAGAGCAGTTTGTTTGGCTGCAACAAAAGATGACAAACTGATGATATCAAAATGTATGGAAGGGGCTCCCCGGTGGCTCACCTGCCCCATGTACCGGGGATGGGTCCCATCGCGGTGGCCCGGGTCCAACTCCGGCCCGTGACCCTGTGCTGTCTGTCATCCCACTCTCTCTCCTCCTTTCCTGTCTATCTTCATCGGTCTCTATCCATTAAAGGCATAAAACCCCAACATATAATTATATATAAAATGTATATAAACGGCTGTTTTAAGTATGATTTCTTTCAGAATATTTGTTCAAGTACTTGAACACTGAAGAGGCCCTCCTATGAAATGACTAACAGTGGCCCCAAGAGACCCCTGCCTTAAAGGAAATATAAGGAGAAAAGTAATTACCTTTCAGTCTTAAAGCTGCTATATGAGGTTTACAAGAAAAAAATATTGAAGACATTCTCCATTTACAACTAAACTCATAAAAGACATGTTGCTCTGTACACATAGGCATAAAGCCTGCAGGGATGTCCAGTACCATAAAGATTTACCGTCTAAAGCTAAATGTGGCATTCAAAGTTAGACTCTACTGTACAGTCTCTCAACGAATAGTTATGAATGTCATGCAAACACTCAGCTCTGCACCTTTAAATCTCTCCGCTCCTCCCTCTCCTCAATGACAAGCCCACAGAGCCTCTTTAACGCATCCAGTGGAAATGACAAACCAGAGGCGCTACTCGGGCCAGCATGTTAAACACTAACGATAATCATGGGCTTTAGCGACAACAGCAACTCACTCTCAACTCGCATCCTAAGACACTAACAAGGCAATCTTTCGGCTCGTGTTTTTTTTTTTTTTTTTTTTTTGGTTTGTCGGTCTGCGGGACGCGCCAAAAGTTGGAGCGGGTATCGCCAAATGGACGTCGATGGACTGGAATGAAACCTCCACTTCTATCGGACTGAAGGAAGGAGGGAAAGAAACCTCTGCATGTTCAAGTTTCCTGCTCCGACCAGAGGGGCATCAGTGTGTGCGTGTTGGATGCGGGTGCGTGTGTGGAAGTGTGTGTTGGGTGCGTGTGTGTGCGCGCTCGCAGGACCAGCAGCAGCAGCAGCAGCAGCGGCGGTGGCGGCGGCGGTGGTGGTGGCCGCGGGAAGGGAAGTTTAGCGCCGTGATTTTTCTTCTTTCCCTCTATTCTGTTGTATTATTTCTCATGTCACACCAGAGGACGGGCGGATTAACGTTTCCCTGATGAAAATTAATCATCTGTGGAGAGGCTCTGTGATCGTGACTATGATGATGATGTCGAGTAAGAGCGTGGAGTGGCTGCAGGAGGAGCTGGAGTCCGGGGCCAGCTCTCTGCTGCTGCTGGACTGCAGACCCCATGAGCTGTACGAGTCCTCGCACATCGAGTCGGCCATCAACCTGGCCATCCCGGGCCTCATGCTCCGGAGGCTGAAGAAGGGCAACCTCCCCATCCGCTCCATCATCCCCAACAACGAGGATAAGGAGAAATTTGTCAAGCGGTGCAAGACGGACGTGGTGGTTCTGTACGACGAGGCGACCCCGGAGCGGCAGGAGTCCGGGCTGGGGAGCTCCGTGCTGGGGCTGCTCCTGCAAAAACTGCGGGACGACGGGTGCAAGGCTTTCTATCTGGAGGGTAAGACCAAGACACTGCTGGCTTTAAAAATCTTGAATGTCTGAATCAGTGTTGTAGTCCCTTTTTAATTCATAAAAAAAAGAACTCTGTCCTCTCAGCAGAAAGACAAATAGTTTAATTTCCCTCCGATTAAATTACCTGAGATTACAGGACATGCGGCTGTTCTTAATGTGCCATTCACACTGTTACTTTGTTTTTAAAACAGTAATCAATTAATGCTAAAACAACAATATAAATCTTATTGATTTATCGGGCCTGGGATCATTTCACTAATGGATACGTGTATTGGGATTGTGTCTTCTGAAGTCTGTTTCCAGTCATATCTGCGACAGAACGCTTGAGATTTGGGCTCTTTGACGATATTTTATGATGATAAAAAAAAGCGCCTTTTCACATGTGAATAGCCATTAGTGTAAACGTTATTACATTATTAAATAGTTTGTAGAGGTATTTAAGTGTCACAGTGTGGCGATGCTTCAAATAAACCCAACTGTTATCCTCGGACCAAAGTTAGTCTGTTATTTATTATTTATGTCTCATAAGGAGGCAGCGTAACGAAGCATACCGGGGACGATAGAGAGGCTACAATGAAACACATCAGCTCCACTCACTGAGTAGTCATAATGAACTTTGACAGAAGACTTCCTTTTAACTTACAGCCGACATAAATGACCGTCTTTATTTTATTTTCTTATCAGGGCCGAGCCTCTTAAAGCCCCCCTGCCAATGTAAAGAAACGTCAAACAATGTCTTAATATCCAGGCTACAGAGCTGTGTCAAAATATGTTTTCAATTAAATGCTGCAGAAACGGCCCGCCATGTTGTGCTCCTTCAGGAAAAGACTGGCGTTTTTTTGTTTTTTTTTTTGTGTGTGTTTTTTTTTTTTCATGAATGAACAGGGAAAGACGACGACGCACTGTGAAAAAAAAAATCCTCCAGCAGTGAAATTAAAATACATTATCATCCAATAAAACCGCATACATAGATAGATACGTGTATGAAATATGGCAGCGTTAGGAGATATAGATTGTGTTTGATTTGTAGGTAATCACAGAAATGCTTCCACCGGAGTCACAAGCCGAGCTGCCATTCACAAAAAGTCCACTGAGCTGAGTAGTGAGTGTTGTAGCAGCAGCAGAGCCGACTGTCCTGCTCTGCTGCTGATTCTCCCCAGGGCTCAGCTTTTCTCAATGGAGCACACATCTGTCCGGCATGTTTGCTTATTCACAACGACGCAAATATCACGTTTTTTTTGTCTCTCCTATTTTCTGAGTGGTTCATAAAAAGATGTGATTTAAAAAAAATAACCGCATTTTTACAAAAAGCCATTCTGTTATAAATCAATATCATGGTAGAAATAGCACATGTTACACTGTTTGTGATGCATGTGAGTTAATTCTGGTGTGAATGAAGTGATTTCATTTGGATCACATACCTAAAATTCACTTACTCTGACAAAATGTATTATTGTTTACCACCATTATTATCTTTTTAATGATCTAAATTTCATTTATTTATTTATTTGTATGCTTCTTTCTATTCTTTTCACTGCTGTTCAAACATCCAAAAGGTTAACTTCTTGTCATTCAGGTTCATGATCCACCTCTTGTATCCTGCAGACATTCAGCTGCCATTTTGTCGATGTTGCATTAAACAAGACAGAACCCAGCCCTGTGGTCATGTACAGAGCACATTCCTTATACCGCCAAGTGAAATTGATTTCTGGTCTATATCTTAATATTGACCCTTTTAACTGGTCTTTTCCTCATCCTCCAGGGGGCTTCAACAAGTTCCAGTCGGAGTACCCTGAGCACTGCGAGACCAATTTGGACTGCTCCTGTCCCAGCAGCTCCCCACCAGCCTCCGTCCTCGGCCTGGGAGGACTCCGCATCAGCTCCGACTGCTCAGACGGGGAATCTGACCGCGAGCCGGGCAGCGCCACAGAGTCTGAGGGCAGCCCGCTCCCCAACAACCAGCCAGCGTTTCCCGTCCAGATCCTGCCGTACCTTTACCTGGGCTGTGCCAAAGACTCCACCAACCTGGATGTGCTCAGCAAGTACAATATCAAGTACATCCTCAACGTGACGCCCAACCTGCCCAACATGTTTGAACACGAAGGGGACTTCAAGTACAAACAGATCCCCATCTCCGATCACTGGAGCCAGAACCTCTCTCAGTTTTTCCCCGAGGCCATTTCATTCATTGGTAAGTGAAGGTGGAGAGAACTCGCTTTATGTCTGTGTGTGTGTGTTATGTTACATCAGAGCTTTTTGTGAACAGCGGGGTTATTCTGATTATCAGTTACTCTGCTGACAGTTTTCTTGGTTAATTGTTAAGTTGAACTATTAAAAGCAGCAAAAAAGCACTAGGTTTGTTTCTTGTGTTAAGTCTATCTCACTTTTCATACATTTTAATCATAAATCATGTAAAAAAAATCTGTCTATCTTTCTGTATATAAATAGTTTTAATGGTGTGAAACAGAATTAGTTGGACACTTTCTTTAAGATTGTTTTGGTGATCTGCATTTAGACAGCCTGTATTTTACTGTTCCAGCTAAAACTAAATATAATATCCGACAATATAAAGCAAGGTTTTGAATTAAACATGGAAACAGATTCTTTGAGAATGGGGTCATACTGAAGATATTTAGCCCTCGCTTTCAGTATTTCTCATCATCCCCATTATTCCTCTGGCATCCTCATTGACTCATCAGAGAGGGAATTTACTCATTCTCTGGGAATTCAGTCAGAGTCTGTCTTAGATCTTCCAGACCCCCTAACATTTGTCTTTTATTCAAGACTAATGTCTCTGCTTAGGTGGCAGGAAGTGTGACATATGCCAGAGCACAGAGGTCGTGGCAGATTTGGGTCATGCTGACATTAAATGGTGCTGTCTGGTGGGCTGTAATGTGCAGGGATTACATCAGGTCTTTTTGGTAACAGCAGGCTAATTATGGGTGAAGGAGAGGAGCTCGGGCTGAAAAGGAGACCCAGATGTGACCATACACTGTTCTGTTGTAAACTGGGGATTCCTTAAATATCTGAATTTATTGAATTAACGTGTTCTTTGATGTAGAGACAGAATAATTTGATTGTTTCTGGCTTTTGACAGTCTGAGAAATGGATGATTCTTGTGTTATTATGTATTTAAGGCACAACTGAAGTGATGTAATGCTGCACAATCGGTGCAGAACAGATTAACTACCGGTTAGTTATTTGACTTCTGAGTCTTCCATCGTTGGGTTTGGGTCTCCTGATGCAGATTTTTTTGGCCCCTTTTTATTGTGGAAAGTGAGCAAACATCACATATAAATTTAATTTGGCATCCGCTTGGCAGCTTGAGCTCGCGAGCCAACTGACCCCAATCCTACAACAAGAGATGCAGGCAGAGAGAGTGAGGAGAGGCGGAGAGAGAGGATGAGAGAGAGAGAGAGAAGAAAGGAAAGAAGCACTTAACTCTTGCTCTAATGGCCTGTAGTGGTGGAAGTGCATGGGCTCGAAACTGATAGAAGACGGATGGATGTAGCCTGTTAATAATGTAAGATGTTTTTTTATTCAGATTTTTCTACGGACTGAGAGCTAGAAAGCAGAATGAAACATGACTTTCTGTTGTCATTGAGAGAGATCATTCTGGATTTAGAATATAATATGAAATATTTGGAAAGAAAGATCCAATTCTCTGTTCTTGTATTATGACTTTGAGTCTGTTGTGTTGTACTGTGAATCACTTGGAAGTGGGGCTGGGTGACTTTCAGTGGGATTGTAATCATAATACTATGTGATGTGATATTATGGGTTCTATACATTTATAAATAATGATTCTAATTTAGTTGTAATTAAATAGGAACAAAATACATTATTCTTTGAGTTACGAATTTGTGTTTTACACTTGAAGAATTTAGTCTCAGTCCCTGAAAACCTGGTTTGAAGCCATAATCATGAAATAGTTATGACTAAATAAGCAACGACCAAATTTAACGTTAAAAACATTTTTAGGTTTGTTTTTGTTTTTTCACACACACACACTCAAGTCTTATCAAAAAGTGATCTGGCATCACATACTCCCAACTGGGCCCTGCCAACTTCAAACCACTGTGAAAAAAAATGCAGAAATAGGTCATGTGAAATCAAAAGTGTCCAGAATTTGGCAGGAAATTGTGTTCAGTGCAGGATCTCATTGCTCATATTAACTGAGTAATATAGAGAATAGGATTTCTGAGCCTTTAAACATATGTTTTACTTTTTTTTTAAATGTGATTTAGCATATTCAGCATATTGAGATTGACAATCTGTAAATATTGTTCATTGTTCATTAGGATCCCTGTTAGTTATTACTGTAGTACTACTCTTCCTGGGGTCCATATTCAAATATACATCAAAATGAACAAATATTTATCAACCCAATAGGATTACATCACTTGTTTGCTTGTTTCCATCATAAGCCTGTCTTCAAAAATAACTTTTAGTTGTTTCTTTAAACCTTTTTTTCTAGTTTATTGAAATTGAAAGTATTGGGAGTCTGTTCCAATGAGTCCATATACATAACTGGTGTATTGTGTTGTTGGTTTCAACCATATTGTGCATTTCTACCTGAAATGGTTGGTTTTATGTCTCGTTCACATATTGATGAAAATGCAGATTAGAAGAATTCATATTCTAAGTAAAACTGTAGATGAGAAGATCTAGAGACTGTTTTCGTTCTGGCTCATTGATAATTTGAATTTGTATGACTAAAAAATCTCATTTCATCCTTTCCCCCTCTTTCCCTTTGTTCATCTTTCCTCCACTCCCGTCCTCCCCTGTCCCTCTCTCCTCAGACGAGGCGCGCTCCAAAAAGTGCGGCATCCTGGTGCACTGTCTGGCCGGGATCAGCCGCTCGGTGACGGTCACGGTGGCCTACCTGATGCAGAAGCTCAACCTGTCGCTCAACGATGCGTACGACTTCGTCAAGCGGAAAAAGTCCAACATTTCCCCCAACTTCAACTTCATGGGCCAGCTCCTGGACTTTGAGCGGACGCTGGGCCTCAACAGCCCCTGCGACAACCGCTCGACCTCCCCAACGCACGACCAGCTCTTCTTCACCACCCCGACCAATCACAATGTGTTTCAACTGGACACGCTGGAGTCCACATGAAATTTAGACGGGGGGATTGTCCCTTTTTTAAGGGGGGTCAAGGTGGTGTTGTTACCATGGTAACAAGCGGCTGAACTGGAGGGAAGCAGCCAGTTTTAATGAATGTTTTAAGCCTCCCGGTGGCTCGTTGTCTGAGAGCCTGACCATGGAGCAGTGTTGGAGGGTTAGGAGAGCTCACAGATGCCACGTTAAAAGGGGGAAAGGGTAGTTTTTTTTAACCCAGAAGGGGAACTGACAGATGGGTTTTACGGTGGCGTCTTCCTCGGAGTTGATTGAAATCGAGGGAGGAAAAAAGCCCTGATCAACTTGTCTTTTAACAGAGAACGGAGGAGACTTTACTGACTGAGAAACTGAGTGAAGGCGGCAGCAGGACAGACAGCTTCATACAAAGATAGGAACATGGAAAAATCTACAGCGCTCGATTTATGAGACAACAACATCCTCTCTGTCTTTCTGTCTCTGCTCTCGAGCTGAGCTGACTGGTGCCAAGTGGAGAATCTGGGATTTACTTGTAGAAAATCTCGCTCTACTGAATGTAGAGTTTTATAAACCAAGGAATTAACACACACACACACACACACGCATAAACAAAGTATGTATGTTTGTACTGTATGTACTGTATGTATGTTAACGTACATAGCAGAACATGTATGGGCAGTCCTTAACAAATTCAGTATGTCTATATGCATTTTTGTATATTTTTGTGTACATTTACGCACAAATCTATACCTTATATAAATATATACGCATAGAAATCTTATCTATCCAATCCAATAATGGCTTAAGAGAATGTAAAACTAAAGAAGGGGAATGGGTGTGGTGACGCCATCAAAGAGGAACGTTGTTGTGATATTCCGAGTTGTCTTCTTTTTTCTTTTCTTTTTTTGGATGTTTTGTTTCATTTTTCTTTCAGGTTTGTAATGACCTAATGCAGTTTGCACAGTGGTGTAGCCATTGACTTGTTGGCACTTGGAGCCAATGCTTGGAAGCAGGCAGATAAAGAGACATTCAGAGAAGAGGAGCGGTGAGGAGAGGCCAGTCCCAGGCTGCGACGAGTCCCGACAGCTGCACAGTGGAGTGGGGAGGGAGCAGGAACTGGGCCCCCAAGCAAAGGACGAGGTTCAGAGGGTTAGAGGGTTAGGACTAGGGCATGGGGTTAGGAATTATCAGTTGAATTGTGGTTGGGTAGATTTGACGTTTGTCAAACTGCTGTTGCAGTTCCCAGTTCCTACTTCCCTCACTATATGGCTGTTCATTCAGTTTCCTACCAAGAAGTACCAGTTTCCACCAGCTGTTTTGATTATTTTAGTCGATGTTGTTTCATTTCAGTCAAAAACTCTGAACTTCCTCATCACAGCATCTAACGGCTCTGACTTTTGTACTTGGAGGCAGAGACTTGAATGAGAGATCAGCGTTAGTGTTGGGGGATGCTAAGGCACTGTTAACATTTCTGAGCAACTTTTTTAGGCAGCTTATCTTAGCAACCTTGGGCAAGGAAGTGCCTCAACGTTCTAGTATTACCTTCTTTTTGCCTAAAAGGAAATTATTCAATTTGTTGTCTTATCTTTGGTCCCTTTTAAGACCCAGGTACAAATTTGCCAAACAAAAAAAAGGATTCTCAGATAAGGGACTGTGATTGTAACCTGGTCTTGGTGTTATTATTATGATTATGGTGTTTTGGTCTGGGACTGGCCTCAGCTACAAACTGCACTTAGCTACTTAAATAGCTTCACAACCCCTCAACTGCATTGGGGAAAACCGAAGGAAAGGGATCACCCATTTTGTCAAAGTAAAGTTTGTCTGAGTTGATTCACCCTTAAGCCTTGGGTATATTATTATATGAAAGATATATTAAACACAAATTGATATAAATATATATATTATAGAGCTAATAGTAAAGATTATTTTGTATACCTGAGCATGCTATGGTGCTGTATGCTCTCTAACAGTAGACATAACCACGGGTTGGATGTTGCTTTACCGGGAAGGAAGACGAACGATGGGGACCGTTTTTTTAACTGCTGTTGCTGCTGAACACAAGCAGTAAACAGCGTGTGGTTAAGGAGTTTTCTGAGACCCTGTTCACATGTGTAGCACCTTAACAAGAGAGCGTCCTGCTGCAGTCATTGGCCGTTTAAAGTAGGGTTCCACTGATGAGTGGAACAACACTGCAGCACTTATGGCAATGTCTGTAGCTACGTTGGGCCTCATGCAAGAACACTCTTGTATTCTCATCCTCAATCTCTTTGGCTTTTATCTGCTCGTACGAGTGTTCAAGCTCAGTCTGTAATTGTCGTAAATCACTCTTTTCCACCCGATGAATGCCACCTCTTCATTAGTACATGAACATTCACGAGTTGTGATCATTAGCATAATCAGTGCTCCACAATTGCTATAAAAGCCTACCTGTTCTGCTCAATTCGTGGGTACGTTTCATTCACAAAAATGTGACTAAAAATAGTAAAAAGCAGAATGAAAATTTTAATAAAGCTGTTTAGTGATGGACATAAAGAAGAAATGGTTTGATATGAAATCAAACCAGTGATTTTTAAAGGTGAGGTGGTCAATATAGGGAAAAACCATGTTGGTTTGCGTTGCGGTTTTATTCAAGGTTATAAATGTTAGCTGACATTGGGAACATATTTAGCCCTATAGACAAACAAGTATTTTTGGACTGGAAAAAGTAGTCCAGCACTATACCATTTTAATATCAGGAGTACCTGCACACTGGAATCACAGCTCCTTTTATAAGTTTTATTAGTGATGTTTCAGCCAACTGCAGATCTTCCTCGGGCCTGTGGTTGGTCTGAGGCTACTTCAACTGAAAGACACAAGAACAAATCTTTGTATGAGTGTTTCTTGCATGATGTCCATTATTCATAGCAAACTACAGATCAATGGTGTCAAAGTGATGTGGACGGGGTCTACACAGAAACAAAGAACTGGGTTTCAGAGGGGACAGCAGTTGAGTCTGAACAGGATTGGTTTTAGCTGGCCTTATATTATCTTTCTAACTTGTTTCTAATGCTGACTGTTCAATACTCTTTGTATCTCACTTTAGAAAAACATTGTGTAAAAAAAGAAAGAAAAAAATTAAATGTTTGTTTTATCTGTTATTTGAATCAGAACATGGTAATAAAAGACAGCGAGCTGTCTATTTACCGTGACGGGTCACACGAGGTCCTCTTTGTTACTCTGCAATATATCAAAACACCTTTTTGCAGTATTTTGTAGATCCAAGACCTCAGCATTTTTAAAATCTTCTTCTTTTGTACTATATCTATTCTATATAATTATACAAGATCCAGCTCGATATGGCTTGTGGACTGAAGTAACATTTCACCTGGGGTGTCCAAAATGTAGGGCCGGTGTGCCTGTTACCAACGTGAAAGAGGCCCTCACTAACACACGCACACACACACACACACGCACACACACACACAAACACACACACACTGCTTCACATAGTCAGAGCTATGGTTCAGCATGCCAGTTATGTTTCACAATAGACGATTACACCACCCGGCTTTAATAATTACAAGGTCTTTTTCCGTCTTGTTTTGATATAATGTGCTCTATGCTATTCCTGTGGCCTTTCAATATGAATATATATCTAAGTATATATATGTTATGAATTTATATGCAAAAGTTCCTCTCATATTATAGCATCAGAGATAAAGATAATACCACCATGCTTGAATGGATTTTCCTTGTCTGTAGTCATATCCCACTTACAATAAGAAAAACGTTGAGGATTTGATCTCTTGCACCCTAGGATTGAAATATATTTCAGTACGGAGCTTTTCTATTTAAAAGAATATGGTTGATTTCAAGCTGCTTTCTTGTGTTTTTTTGTGTCTTTGTAACAATGAAAGAGAAATCAAGTCTTTTTCTCTGTTTGTAAATTTGCCAGATCACGGGAACGGCCGTTTCTGTGTCCTTAAACTTGTAGCTACATCTTGGTGAGAATGTGCTCGGGAGGGAAAGACGTGAATGAGTGAGAGCAGAGGAGAGGTGGCGACGTTAAATACAAAGTGAAAGAAAAAGTGAATGATTTTAAAAATGTTACCTCAGTGAGGAATTTTTCAGGGATTTTTTTGACAATGCATCTTGCATCGTGTTACAGCTTCAAACACACGTTGAATAGCTGTTTTGTATTGTGCTGTAAACCGTTTTTAAAAAAGATGCAATCTGTCTGTGTATAAAAACAAGGGGCATGTTAACCGGGGCAGTTTCACCTTTCTGTCTATTGAAGGAAATACGATTGACCCTGTGTATTGTACAGTATATGGAAACAACACAAGACATGTTTATACCGCAAATAAATATTGAAATATTTTTTTCTTTAACACGTGTTTTCTTTTTTTATTTCTTGCCACAAAACTACAGCAAAATCACTTTTACGTAGTTATTACAATGAGTACAGAAGAATTATATTGGCCAACATATTGACAGTATTTGTTGTACTGTAAGGCAATGGTTCCCAGCCTGAGGGCCCGTGACCACACGATCGATCTGATGGGTCACGAGGTGATTAACATTAGCATTTGTAAGCACTATAAAAACGTATAGTAACTGGTTTACAACACACTGTAATGTAGTTGTAAACGACTATAAGGACATTTTAAGTGTCTGTTAATGTACAATTTTTGTCAACAATTATAACTTCCCTTATATTATTACTGTATTTTACTTTATTGTCATTATTTGTTTGTAGGAGTTACAGTTGTTGACAAAAACATTAACAAACACTTACAATTAGACTGTAGTGTGTTATAAGCCTTTCTATCAAAGACTGAACACTGTAACAACTGTTTCTTTTTTTCAGTTTTTTTGGTTTTGCTATGCCTAAGACTTCCCTTCATCTTGTTCCACAGTCACACACACACACACACATACACAGGGTTTGTTGCGTCTTTGCTGTGGTTTTAAGGTTTGTGTCAGTTACATATCCGATTGCTTAAACTGAAACTCTGCCACTTCCCCTTGTACGCCATTGTGCATTTTTTGTGTGCAGTGAATAAGGAACTTGTTTGTTTACCATAAACTAGATAAACACAACCCAGTTCAACCACTTTGATCACAATCGAAACCTGTTCATTGTTGCTGTTACCACATTGGTATTGCATTTCAGCACATTATTACAGAAAGTTACTTTTGGAACATATGCATATGCACTTTCTTGCTGAGAGTGAGATTGATACTACTCATTTATCTGTATGATACACACAATGAGCTAGAGCCAGCAGCCGGTTAGTTTAGCATAGCATAAAGACTGTAAACGGGGGAAAGAGCTCATCTGGCTCAGTCCAAAGGTCAGAAATTACCAAATTATCGTCAGTTTCATATATATAAAAACCAAGTGTAAAAATGACAAATTGTGGTTTTATTGGGCGTTACATGTCTCAGCTGGTTGCCTGGCAACCACTCTAGAAAAATAAATAAATAGTCAAACCGCATAAAATGGGTTTTTTACACTTTAGTGCCAAACAAACAAACTAGATAAAATGTGTTAACTGAGAGCTTTAGAGGTTCTGGTAGGTATTTTGATACCTTTAGATGGAGCCAGGCTAGCAGTTTCCCCCTGTTTACAGTCATTATGCTAAGCTAAGCTCACCTGCTGGCTCTCTTCATACCATATTCATCATCCATATATGTGAATGGTAAGAAAACAAATAAGCATAAGCACAAAATTATTTTTATGGTAATATATAACAGCATAAGTTTTTTTTTATTCTATATACTGGCAGTAACAACTCTTTCTCCTAACTGTGTGTCCATTAACTGTGCTCCCACATAACCTAAAATGCCTTTTTCTATCTCAATTAGCGGGTAATAATGGCACATGTACACATGAAAGCTGACAGTGAGGGAGAGAGAATGAGCAAAGTGAGAAAGCGAGAAGGAGGGTTGGTGGAAATAAAAAGAGCATCTTAAAGACAGTGCTGTGAGCTGAGCTGAGCCGGCTATAAATATCTCCCCCTCTTCTCTCCTTGTCTCCTCAGTGTTGCCCTCGCTTCTCTTCCATTCCTCTACAACGACTCCTCTTCATTTTTTTTATGACTTCCTCCACCGTTGCACCATCAAGTGAGCCTCATGGTAATTCCGACAGGATATTACAGTGACGGCGGAGGGGAAAAAAGGGAAATGAAGGCCCCACCCTGTTTGAAGAGATGGGGGACAGGATGATAGACACTACCAACTGATTACTCTCTGGTCTCCTGACAACATGATGACGGGTTTTCCCACACGCCCATCAACACCATGACAGTTCATGTAACAGGAAATGTTCCTGCTCTAACTTGCGGTAATTAAAACCAAGAGTTTATCATGAAGTCGGATGACTGAAGCACTTCTGTGCGCTTGAAAACACGTTTCACACTGCTCGCTGGTATCCAGAAAGGTGCATGTTGCTGTTCACAAGCTGAGAGATAATTTTAGCTCCAACAAATTCTGTTACCTCATAAAGTATTGTATCTTGGTGTGGGTTTTGGGCACGGGCCAGGTTCAGTTCTGGTTATTTACAAATGTATCTCTTTCTCTATCTGTCCGTGCCAGTCATTTACGTACGTGCATGTTATGAAATGCAAGTAAATTCAATTTCCAGTAGGAAGGACTACAGTAAGTAAAAATAGACCAGCCAATGTGTTGCATTGGCTTGACAAATATAGAAAAATAGGAAAAATATAGCATTGGGGCCTGGGCTGGTTTCAGATTTGGCTCCCAGAGGAAGCTGGGCAAAGTCTGACAAATTGCCTCAAGTTGTCACTTGAGTCAGCATCAGTTGAGTCTGAAGACTACGAGTTTAAAAAGGGAAAAATCTGTTGTAAATTGAGTTAAAAAGAAAGTTGCATTGTGGGTAATGTAGGCACCAGGTTTTCACAAGAAAGAAGATTGCATTGAATAATAATAAGACAATATCTGGTTCTACTTTATTGATTTTGGTCCTCTGTGAGTCTTACAATGTTATAGGATGGCAAAGCTAAATAAAAATCAAAAATGCAGCTTCAGGTCTCAAATTTGGCAGATGTAGTCAGGTTCAGCCGGAGTTACATCTTTAAGATGAAGGAATACAAGCTGGTTTTAGTCTCTGTTGCAGAACACTTTTCTCAATTACTGCCACATTGTTCCCTATTGTTTAAAAGGTTTAGAGAAATGAGAGAAATTTAGAGAGATTATTTACACTTCCGCTCATGATAATGCATCTACAACTGCAGTGACAGTGAGTTCAAGTTACCTCAAAGAGGGAAGTTGGGTGCTATAATTAAATAAATAAAACATGTTGGCAGTGGAAAAAAGCAATCCTCTCTGTATCAGTCTATGACCTGTACACAATAGCTGTAAAACAAGATTACACAACTAACATTGCTTATAGTCACAATCAGTCATCAATCAAGTGATGTCAACACTTTGTCCAGTGAGTGTTGGCACCTGCAGTTTCTCTACTAGAATATTTTACTGGAGAAGAAACTGTGTGACATTTTTGCAGTCTTGAAAACATTAAATAGTTGTACGTTAGCGCCATAATTTCTATGTTCTTCTCGATGTGAGCTGCTGTCATTATGCTCCCCTGAATGCAGCACAGACTTTTTTCAGTAATGGCCCATCCGCCATCTTCTTTTAATGAGATTCTCCTCATGCTCTCTGTCTGACTGACAGAACTGAAACTGGTGCAGATAAATTACATCTGACACAGCCATGACATTGACAAACAGAAGAGCTCAGGTCTAACTACATTTCCGAAAGCTCCACTGTTGGCGGCTCCTTTAATGGGCTCAAATAATTACAGTAAATAGCTGCTATGGCTGCTGCTGCTGCAGTACTTAGGCGAGCACTGTCCTCCCACTGTGAGTGGTGCTGTACTGTGATGCACTGTACTGCTCTCTCTGCTCTGTTATATAAAGAACCAGTGCAGCACTCTCTCCAGCAACGCACCACTTCAAGAGCATAATGAGAGGGGATCTGGGAGGGAGAGGAAGTGGAGGGAGGGAGGATGTGAGGCGCTAAGGAGGGAGAGGAAGGACAGATGTTCATGTTTGATCATGTTGAGACCTGCATACCTGTAAAATGGAAACTTTAAAACAGTTAGGAAATCAGACAATGCTGGCAAGCAGAGACATGCGACTGTTTCAGCTACAGGACTTATTACTTATACATTACAATACATTAGTACATACAATGTATAAAATGTCCCAATTCACACACTGTCCGTGCACATGGGGTCTCCTACATGTATTACAAGATTCAGTCTAATTGTGGGTTCACAAATTGTCAATGTTTCAGTACAGGAGCAATAGGTATCTGTCAATTGATTCTCCCAGAACACAAATGTATTTATTCAATTCTAAAGTAGAAAATAAGAGAGAGAAAGAAAACAATTACAAAACAACGACGAAACATAGAGGAGCAATTATAAAAACGGAATTAAACATGAACCCAAATAATGTCAATGTGGTTACTTGCGGTGAAGCTGCAGATTACAACTCACTGGCTTCATCCTCCCTTTCCAACCACGAGGAAGAAACTATGGTGACTGCAAAATGTGCGAAAAAAAGTCAAAAGACAGCCCCATTTAGAGCCATGTGTTTACAAATGTAACTAGTTTAGTGTGGATGTACTCTAACATTACCGTCATATTATGTTTCCGTTCAGCGAAACTGCTCCACACTCAGGCCCAGAAACAGGACATGATGTCACGTCTCTGATGGGGCCATAAATAAATATTGATCACAAACTGTAAACAGTGTATGAAAGTGACACTAGAGTTTGTGTAATATTTGTAAAAAAACTGTGAAGAAACACGTTAGAATAATAACTTAATACAGTTAATTGGTGTTTCTATTGGCTGACCGAACACATCCACTATGTCAAAGTTGAACAAAGGTGAACTCTGACACACGTACAGTCAATCATACAGGCTTCAATAGAAGTGTAATGTGACCTTTCCCTCAGACCAACAGGGCAGCCTTTATCAGTAGTGAGAACTTTAAGAGGAACTTGTTTAAGACAGTAAACAATACAGTGAGGAAGCTATAAGGGCATTGGCTTATAGGCCAACTTTATAGAGCCATTCTCAAGAGTACAGTTTGTACATCTTCAGTCAAACATAACAGCCACAAATTACAGTCCTCTGCACGTCTTTAACCATAAAGCGGGGGAAAGCAGTAAAATCAGCTGTGTGTGAAGCTGAGTGCACTTGCAGGTCAGAGGCACATTGTCAAGAAAGACACACCTCATCAGTTCACCTGGGTTTCCGGCTGGCTCATTAAACACACGCCTGAACGAACTTTGAACACAACAAATCACTGACATCACCTCAAACACAGTGACTGCTGCCACGAAAACAGAG